GGGAGTCCGAATCTATGACTCATGGATGACGCAAATCCCCCCGTTGTCAACGCTTCTTCTCCGTCTACTCCACTTCCATTTTCTTACCGGTAGGGGTTCGTGCTAACGGAGTCTTCCGTTTGTTGATCTGTTTCCCGGCGCCGTCTTTGATTGGAAAGAAGGAGAAATGATGTTGTTGCCGCGGGAAACCGACAAGTTAGTGCTTCACCAAGCTGGTTCCCTTGCCCAGAAGCGTCTTGCTCGTGGTCTTAGGCTCAATTACACTGAATCTGTAGCTCTCATTGCCACTCAGGTACTCTCATTCTTCCATTCTTATGGGGAGATATTGCTTTTTTCAGATCCGAGTCTCCCTTCGTCACATCGGTTTCTTCTACGGTTGTGTAGATTCTTGAGTTTGTTCGTGATGGTGACAAAAGCGTTGCTGAGCTGATGGACATTGGGAGGCAACTATTAGGAAGGTATCAAAACTATATGCTTGAATGATCCACTTTTGTTTTGTTTGAATAAATTCAGTACTAATTGCATTTTCTTCTTCTGTAACAGGAGACAGGTTCTTCCTGCTGTTGTACATCTTCTGCATACGGTTCAGGTGATTTTTGGTTTTCCAAATGCTCAATGCTTTATGTTCTTTGCTTTGCCTTTTTTATTACAACTTGTTAAGGGGTTTGTAGGTCGAAGGGACATTTCGTGATGGTACAAAGTTAATCACCGTTCATGAACCGATTTCTCGTGAAAACGGGAACCTTGAACTAGCTTTACATGGATCTTTCCTTCCAGGTACGATTTGATCTTTGCATATTAACAAGACAAAGTGTTTTTTGTAAAGGTTACTATATATTCATCTAGCTTTGATGATATACTATGCTTTAGAAGCTTAGGATAAACCAACTTAAATTATCTCTTTTTTTTTGTTTTTCATGCCAAATAGAAGTTAGTCAAAGTAGTAATACTGTTAATGTGGAGAGATTATTGATATGATTATGGCTTGTCTTGTAGTCCCTTCATTGGATAAATTTCCAGAAGCTCATGAGGAAGTAATTCCTGGTGATATAAAATATGGCGATGGAAGTGTAATAATAAATATTGGAAGGAAAGCACTAGTCCTGAAAGTTGTCAACACTGGAGACCGACCAGTACAGGTGTGCTTCTTGATTCTTCCGTGTTTCAATTATAGATGGAGTTTGATTGCGAAATCCATTATATTTAATTGCAGAATCTCTTTTCAGGTTGGAAGTCACTACCATTTCATTGAAGTTAATCCGTTGTTGGTGTTTGACAGGCGTAAAGCTCTTGGTATGCGTCTAAACATACCAGCTGGAACAGCTATACGATTTGAGGTTAGATTTCTGAATATCTATCTCTAGTTTCATTTCTCATATACCTTATTCGTTAGGCCTCAATTAGATGGTGTTTGTGCTGGAACTGAAATACAAAGAAACCAAGATTAACATTATAAAACCAGCTTTTAGTCTTGTCAGTGAAAATTGTTATGGTTTTTGTAGCCAGGAGAAAGAAAAAGTGTTGTACTTGTGAATATTGGTGGAAATAAAGTGATAAGGGGAGGAAATGGAATTGTTGACAGTCTGGTTGTTGATGTCAACTGGACAGTTGTGATGGACACCATGGAGAGGAGACGCTTTGGGCACCTGGAAGATGCAGATGCTAGGTTCAGTCCTAGTTATTTTGCAGTTTCTCTGTTCTGAGATGGGGTTTCGACATGGTTACCCCTTGCTATTTTCTACAAAAATAAGTTTTAATTTATCTCTTTGCAGTGAGGGGATTGCAGGGGAAGATCCTAGATTTACGACTACAATGTCGCGTGAAAAGTATGCAAATATGTATGGTCCTACCACTGGTGACAAGCTTCGGCTAGGTGATACCAACTTATATGCAAGAATCGAAAAAGATTATACGGTTTATGGCGATGAATGTGTATTTGGAGGTGGAAAAGTTATAAGAGAAGGCATGGGTCAAGGAATAGAGCAATCTGAAGTTCTTTCCTTGGATACTGTCATCACCAACTGTGTAATAATTGATTATTCAGGAATAATCAAGGCAGATATTGGCATTAAAAATGGCCATATTGTTGGTATTGGGAAAGCAGGCAATCCGGATACCATGCATGGTGTGCAGAGCAATATGCTTATTGGGGTAATTCTATTCACTGGATAAAACACAATAAACATCATTGTGGGATACTTACCTCCTCTTGTTTATTTTCTTAGGGTAAGACTGAGGTTATTGCTGGAGAAGGAATGATTATTACTGCAGGAGCTATTGATTGCCATGTGCATTTCATATGTCCTCAATTGGTTTTTGAGGCAGTGTCAAGCGGTGAGCAGAGTAGCCTGACTGCATATTTCTCCTTGAACAGATTAGAGAGAAAGCATTAAGTTTGCAAGTGTCTTAGAAGACTGATTTAGTCACTTTCCACACATTCATAATTATGTGCAGGCATTACAACTATGGTTGGAGGAGGGACAGGGCCTGCATACGGTACACGTGCGACTACCTGCACCCCTTCGCCGTTCGATATGAAGTTAATGCTGCAGTCCACGGATAGTCTGCCACTAAACTTTGGGTTTACAGGGAAGGTGGGATATGTTTCCTCTTGATAATGATATGCTTGTGATCCATGCAATCATCTTTTTTCGAAAGTCTTCACTTCTTCTGACAGATACACCAATAGCTGACTAGAACTCTTACGGTTAGCAAATGTATCATTGTTAGGGAAATACATCTAAACCCTTAGAGCTTCGTCACATACTGGAGGCTGGAGCAATGGGATTGAAGCTGCATGAGGACTGGGGAACTACTCCTGCTGCAATAGATAATTGTTTAGCAGTTGCAGAAGAATATGATATCCAGGTTTTTTCTTTTCCCTGACATCCTCTTCTAAGAAACAAAATTGGTAGTTTCCCAAATGTACTCAAATGTTTGGATTTGACAGGTGAACATTCATACTGACACCTTAAATGAATCGGGTTTTGTGGAGCACACAATCAATGCATTTCGAGGGAGAACAATACATACATATCACAGGTTACTCATCATCTTACCCCTTCATGTACCTCTCAGACGCTTGCTTCTTAATCTTAGTTATTGTTAGTATCATAAATTCGTTGAGCCAATTCCCCTTACACTAGCTAGTTATGAAGTCATTTGACTGATAAAACTAAATATGTAACAATAATTACAAAGTAAGGTCACTGCCTATATTTGAAGTATGTACTGAAGTGCTATTTTTGTTTGTTAAATTCTTCTGGACAGCGAAGGTGCTGGTGGTGGACATGCGCCAGATATCATCAAAGTTTGTGGTGTTAAAAATGTACTCCCTTCATCAACCAACCCAACACGGCCATATACGAAAAATACCGTGGATGAACATCTTGACATGCTGGTATGAGAATGTGATAGGAGTACACAACTAATGATTAATTACTTTACTTTTGTCTTGTTAATAACCTCATATGCAAACACAAGCAGATGGTTTGCCATCACCTTGACAAGAACATCCCAGAAGATGTAGCTTTTGCTGAATCAAGGATAAGAGCTGAAACAATAGCAGCTGAGGACATATTACATGATATGGGAGCAATCAGCATTATCTCCTCTGACTCACAAGCAATGGGTCGCATTGGAGAGGTTCGTGCCTCTAACCATAAAACGTTTTGTGAAATCAACTTGGGATTTTAGGTTCTCATAAGTAGCTTTTTATGTATATCAGAAAACTTGCAAACTTATTTAGAAATTTATCAAGGGAGAATTCTTCACTCCCTGGTTCATAGTATTCGAATTAGTTAAAGCAAATGATCTCAGAGAGAACGGTACCGTGATCGTATTTCTAGCTTCTCTCTGCAGAGGTTGCTTACTTTGTGGCATGTTCTCTCCAACTGTTTGCACTAAAAAAACTGTCATTCCATTTCCTGTTTACAGGTAATAAGCAGAACTTGGCAGACTGCTGACAAGATGAAGGCTCAGAGGGGAGTCATTGATCCTAACACATCTGATGATGATAACTTGAGGATAAAGAGATACATTGCAAAGTACACTATAAACCCAGCCATAGCCAATGGGTTTTCTGACTTAATTGGCTCGGTTGAGGTATGCTAATCTTCAACACACACATCTAATATCTTACTACATAGCTTTCTTTTCTTGTTGCAAGTTTTTAGTTCTGTCGGCCAATAGATGCCAAAACTGTGTGAAACATCTTCTCTGATGCACAATTTATTTCCTGCATTCTGTTATTAGATTCTTTATGGATAGAGGGCTATATTGGATTCTGAGTCAGCAGTAGTGGTTGTTATATTGTAGATTAGGAAGAATATAAAAAACTCAACTTTCGTTGAATAGTGGAAGTAACTACTTAACACCACCTATGTTTTTGTTTACTCAATTGAAAAATGCACTGCTTTGCAGGAGAAGAAGCTGGCAGATCTCGTTTTGTGGAAGCCGGCTTTCTTCGGAGCAAAACCAGAAATGATAATTAAAGGTGGCAATATAGCTTGGGCTAATATGGGGGATGCAAATGCTAGCATACCTACGCCTGAGCCGGTAATCATCACTGACTACTATTTTATCTTACTCTGCCTCACCTATATATCGACGAGCACTAGCATTCCGATCGCTGGGATAACAACACGTATCTGTTGGATTGAAAATATAACAACACTCTTTGCTTTTATGTTATGACGGTAGGTCATATCGAGACCTATGTTTGGAGCATTTGGAAAGGCCAGAAGTGAAAACTCAGTTGCATTTGTCAGCAAGGCATGGAACCTGTTATCACTCTAATCTCTTCCATTCTTTCTCCAATTGACTTGTGGATTCAGGTAACATAAAGTGTAGTTTCTTTTTTCTTACCTAACCCAGGCTGCCTTAAGAAACGGGGTAAAAGAAGTATACGGACTCAAGAAGAGGCTTGTAGCGGTCTCCAACGTGAGGGGGCTCACAAAACTCGACATGAAGCTGAATGATGCGCTTCCAAACATCACCGTGGACCCAGAGACATACGTTGTCACAGCGAACGGTGAGGTCCTCGCGTGTGAGYCAGCCAATTCGGTCCCTCTCTCCCGGAACTATTTCCTGTTTTAAGGTTGTTCAAACTAAAGCACTATAGCAAGCATACAAATTAAGCTTTCTCTGAACAAACAAACAAAAAGATTTAGTGAGAGAAGCAAATATAAATTGGAAAGGGAATGTGGTGAGTGAAAGAGATGTTGAAGGAGTAATGTTGTAAAACGAGAGGATCCACCATAGAACAATAAAGTGGTGTCTCTTTCTTTTTATAAATGGCATGCAGAAGCCATTAGTGGACTTTTCTGATTCTACGTTATTGTGGGGTAAAAGCATTTACATCATTACGGAAGCAACATGGAGATATTGTTATGTGATGGTTATCTTCTCCTCCTCTACTAGATGGTGCGTGTCACCGTCTTCTTTCACGTTTAAATATCTTCTTCGCTTTCGCATTTAGAGTCAATTGTAAAAACTGATTTCATTTTCAAACGGTTCTATATCACTAATAATGGGCTCGGATCTACTAGTGCGAGTTGCGTCGCCACCTCTACAAAATCCTTGAGCACAAAGGTTCATCTTCACTTCCCAACAAAGTTTGGGGAAAGGTAGTCTAGTAGGTTCTGATAATGGATTTGCTCCGAGAAAGGTTTTGCGGTTCTTTGTTCCATGTTTCTGCTCTTAAGAATATAAAATTAGTTACTCAACGATGGTTTAAGTTCCCTCTTGTGTAACTCTATTTCTTGAATTGTTTTTCAAAGGAGGTAGAAGTTAAAGGTGTGTAATGTCTTTGTATAAGAAAAAGAGCTCAATGCATTGAAATTCTAAGTATGGTATACACAAAGGCTTTGAATGATTGTACGGTCCACTTTGGATCGGACAAAAGTCATACCAATCTACATTTTATTCTCTATTCGCATTTTTGTCCAAATTTACTGCGGATCAACTTCAAATAAAATAAAAAAATCTATTCATACGGAAATTCAGCAACTGCATGCCAAAATATTACTATTTGTCCAATATTTTGAGTCCACTCCAAAAATGAAATGTATTCTAATATGTAGTTTCGCGTACTAAAATGTTAATCCTAATGAAACGTAGCTGTTTTGCTAGTTAGTGATGAATTTATTGTCGGGTCGACAACCTATTACCTCATAAACCCCGATAAAATCTGCCACATGTAAAAAAGTTTTAGTTTGGGAGATATATACA